CTTATACACTCTGATCTTTTAGGCAGAGATTATTGTTCTTTCTGAAGCTGGAGTGGAGGTTTCTCAGATTGCCTTAAGTACTTTTTATACATTCAATAGGTCCTAGGTTTAAATACTACCCAACTTCTTTAGTCTGAGAGACTGGTAAGTATCACTAACCGTCACATACTAAGTTCCGCTCATTGCTTGATATATAAAAAGTATATCGCGGTTAACTGAGCTCTAACTGACTAACTTTTAGGGGTCATTCTTTTTTCTCAATAGATTACTATTCCGCTTTATTCTACCTTTCTCCTAGTCCTCAAGTTGGAGCGAAATTAAAGCCAGGTTAGAATTGAAGGATGCCAATAATCAATACAAAAAGGTTATCTGGCAGCAGTATAACCTACTTACCTAATTTAAGTGTATTTTGCAGAACATATAACTCAGCAGGTGGATTGTTGTAATATACCTTCAGTAGAAGTGATTAGGACTTTCAAAGTCTGTTTGTAATCTTGTCATTTGTTGTAAGTAGCATGAATTCTGTCATTTTTCTGTTTTTAACCTACCTTTACTACAACTACGTACACATGAGTATCGGCTATCAGCCAGTAACTCTTCCATAATCTTGCAGTTGATTTTTCCACTAGTCGATTTAGTGTAAAAGATAAGATGAACGTGTATTCTAGCTGTATCCCATTAAGTATTTATGTATATAAAATTATTTTCTTATTTGTCTCAGACGCATTCTACGATATATCCACTGATATATTAGTATGACTATGCCTACAAAAATGTATCATTATAATTTCCTAATGTCATGTGCAATGGATTTTTAAAATTTGTAAAAATCAACCTTTTTAACTCTGAAAGCGTTGAACCGCCCATTGTTGCTTATTTTACTGTGTGACTGTAAGCTAATTTATTACAGAGACCGTTTATAGGCACTCTCGAAGAATCCTTCGTATTAAGAATAAGTAGGAGAAGAATGTGGGCAAAATTATCAAAAAATCGTAGTGAATTCAATTAGACGAAGATGTATAAACTAAGGGTCCTACAAAGTAATATATTTTTAAATATAAGTATTTCTGTGAATAATTCCTTAACGATTTGTCTCAGAGAAACCTAGTTTTCCAAGCGCGAATATTATGTTACTGCATCTGAAATATGACTTTTATTATAAGTAAAATATTAGTAGTGTTTGCACACTCAATAAAATTCCCTTAGGTTCTGTCTTCATGATTATTAATATCATATAATGTTTTATAGTATTTCTTAGTTTGTCTGATAAGACAAATGTTTTTTAAGGGTCACGTAATTTGTTTTGGTAGGGTAACGTATACAATATGCTTATAAATACTATACAGTATTATGGAGTTCCGTGCCAGCGAACCGACAACGGTGACCGTCTACTACAGTTCTGCTCTGATAATCATTTGTTTCTTGTAAGCACTAACTTCAAACACAAGGAGAGACACTGTTTGACTTGGAGACCCCCTTCATCAAGCCAACGCTGGACACAAATAGACCACATAGCAATAAGCTATCGTTGGCGTGGGTCGGTAGGAGATTGTCGCTCCTTCTGGAACACGTGTGTAGATACGGATCACGCACTGGTCCGCGCTCAGGTGTGCTTACGACTGAACGGACGTAGGAAACAGCTGGCGGTAAACCCATCACGTCCCCAGCTCGATCAGGAAACTAAATCCCTATTTGAGGGAGAACTAGCTAAACACATATCTGAGTTCGACAGCTGTGCTCACCATGAAGAAGCCTGGAAGAATATTCAGTCAGCCATAGATACAGCTGTAAAAGCTGTGAATAAGGTAGATCCAAAGGTGAGTAAAAACCATTGGATATCGACTGCCTCATCTGAACTGATAGATGCTAGAAGACTTATTCCGGCGAGCTCCGAATTCAATGAGGAGCGAAAACTGCACAAAAGGAAACTCACGAAAAGTCTCCGCAAGGACCGTGAACAGTGGTGGGTGACAAAAGCCAAAGAGATGGAGAAAGCTTCGAGGATAGGCAACACCAGGTAACTATTTAGACTCATCAGGGAAACGGGTGGGAGAAGATAAATCATTAGTGAAACAATCTCGGAGAAAAATGGCACTATAATTAGCTCCCAGGATAGACGACTGGATCGTTGGAAAGAGCATTATGAGGAGCAGTTTAATTGACCCACAGCCACGCTCAACCTTCCGAGCATCCAACACCTCCCTGAATGGGATATAGACACAGGTCCTCCATCCCTAACTGAGGTTACTAGAGCTGTCACCAATCTTAAACTAGGCAAAGCGGCGGGACCTGATGGAATGACTCCAGAGGTATTTAAGTACGGTGGAGACAGCTTACTGTCTGCATTAACTGAGGTACTAGGCAGCGTCTGGGAATCAGAAGAAGTCCCATCGGATTGGTGTAAGTCACTGATTATCCCCATATACAAGAAGGGAGACAAGTCTTCCTGTGATAATCACAGAGGGATTAGCTTGACTAATATAGTATCTAAAGTCTTAGGCTCAATAATCATGCGTAGACTGAGTGGTGCTCGGGAGGCACAAACACGAGAGAGTCAGGCAGGCTTTAGACCAGGAAGAGGGTGTATTGATCATATCTTCACCCTCCGACAGATTCTAGAACATAGTCATTCCTACCGGCGTCCAACAGTCATTATATTTCTTGACCTAAAGGCAGCATTCGACTCTGTCGATCGGGAAGTTCTCTGGAGATGCTTGGCTGTAAAGGGAATTCCAAGAAAATATATTGCACTGATTAAGGCACTCTACTCGTACTCATACAGCCAGGTGAGGGCTTACGGCGAGCTGTCATCTGAACTGGTGACGACCAGTGGTGTCCGTCAAGGATGCCCATTATCCCCTTTTCTATTCAACTTCATCATTGATGTGTTAATGGACTTAACCCCAAGTGACTTCAGCGACTCAGGGATTGACTTTCTACCAGGGAATAATCTCGTTGACTTGGAATATGCAGACGATATAGTCCTTCTAGGCGAGGACGCTGACAAAAAGCAGAGTCTTCTGAACATCTTGAGCAGCAATCTACGAATGTTTGGCATGCGATTCGCTCCCGCTAAATGCAAGATGATGTTACAGGACTACACTACATTAACACCTAGATTAGAAATAGGAAGTGAAGTGGTTGAGCACGTTGACCGCTTCACTTATTTGGGAAGTACCATCAGCCCCAACGGGTTGATCTACGACGAAATCTCAGCACGAATACAGGGGGCTCGTTTCGCATTTGCCAGTTTACGCCGACTCTGGCGTAGACGAGATGTTCGACTATCGACCAAAGGGCGGGCGTACTGCTCATCAGTCCGCTCCGTCCTCCTTTATGGCTGTGAGACCTGGCCACTGAGAGTGGAAGACATGAAAAGACTAGCCGTCTTTGATCATAGGTGCCTGCGCTCTATTTCCTGTGTAAAGTGGCATAATAAGGTGAGCAATATTGAGGTTAGGCGTCGAGTTCTAGGTAAACAGGGGAAATCAATCGACGAAGTCGTGAAGTTACAAAGACTGAGATGGTTAGGACATGTGTTACGTATGCCAAGCCATCGCCTCCCTCGACGAGCAATGTTAGCGGATATAGGGTCAGGCTGGAAAAAAGCTAGCGGCGGTCAAACAAAAACTTGGCATCAGTCAATGAAATCCACAACAGTTGGTCTAAGCCACGTAGAAAGGTGTAGACTTCCAGGCTGGGGTCCTCGAGACGGTAAAAATCAATGGTTGGAAACAATTGGTGACATGGCTCAAAATCGTTCTCAGTGGCGCAGATGCATCCACTCCTTGTGACTTATCCTCTCCAATGAAACTGTTTTGTTCTTCGTTAATACTCCTTTGTCTCACACCTCTGCTCACTGTCTCTATCATGCTTTTCTTGTACTTTCTTCTCTTGCTTCGCGTGCTACACGGAATGTGGCGACTTGAACTTCCGCACATTTGTGCAAAGTTCTATGTCGAAAACAGACAGACAGTATTAGCGGTTTCACCTAATAGTCTAAATAAGTTACTTAAATGTTGGTTGAACTTTTGTAATTTTTTTTCGGATTCATGAAACATATATTCTAGGAGACGAAAATTATGTAACTGGAGTTGAAATATCTTCACATTAAAGGTTGGTTGGAGTAGGCAGTGTAAGTTTCTGAAATTGATGCGCGGTGGTCTGTAGAGAGCAGCATTCATGTAATGGACTCTTGTGTCTGTGGTTAGTAGTTAGGTCACATCATTAAAGTTCACAGTTTTGAAATAATGAGGAGAATTCTAAGTTCAGATTAATGGTTTCGATGTGATCGTGTTCTCTTGGCCGGGTGGTTTAATTGCAAAGCTTTCATTCTCCTCCTTCTAGACAACATCTTCAGCCTAAACTTCATTATGAATTGAACTTATTTGAATTCTCTCCATGAATGATATAATTGTATCTTCTTAGTGGTCGTGAATTTACATTAGTATTAGTCGTTTTACTAACTTGGAAATCGTCATGTGACATATTGTTTATTAGTTGATAAATTTGATGTTTTTTACCCACTCGTTTGTCTGAGTACTAGGCTTCTACTTTTTAAAATTTCTACATTTTCTCAGTCAAACTGGTGTCCATTGTTGTCTAACTGCATTATTATGAAAGAATGCATTCGTATCTTTTGACGGCTAGTTAATATTTTTAAGGTTAGAATCGAAGGAGACATATACACACATATCATTCATGAGGAATTCAGATAAGTTCGGCTCATATTGAAATTTACGCAATTAAATCAGCTATCTTAGAAAATGCACCCGTATCTAAAATTTTATAGTTGTTAGTTAAAGATTTGTATTACCCGCCACTGTTTTTCAAACATAGGATTTCCACTGTGAATAAGTGTATCATTATAAAACACAATGTTTCTCTGAAATGCCATCCACCAATAAATTTTATACCTTCACTTTATAAAGATATATGTAGAATAGCATATATGCAGGTACATTCAGATGACGAGTCCGAAATGCGACGAAATGCGCATCCTGGATTCCACTGCTAGTCACCATTCACCAATCAAATTGTGGAAATTGTTTATCTTTGCCGTATGGAAACTGTTAAATTCACAAGATTAAATTTAAAAAAAACCCAACAGCAAACATCAATAGTTTGTATAATGTAAACAAGACTACAATGACATGGAAATGTAAATTAATTACTTTACTGTCATTCGCCTGATTAGACTATAAACCATTGACCTTGAATATTATATCTCGTACATTGATCAATATGTGTTCATATATGTATATAATTATGTGAACTATATTTGATTGATGCATAAATTGTAGTCATAATCATATCTCACTAATTGAGTATACTAGTGATAGCTTTACTTGGCCAAAATTTCGTCTAAACGCTACTTTTTTTTTCAACAATATGCTGTTGAATGCTGAATTAATCTGGCAAAAATCAAATAGCCTGAAGAGTTGTCTTTTTTATACAACACGTTATGGCAAGTTTTATGAAGTCTGTTTTTTGCACATCACTACACTGGAATTTTTCATATAAATATGGAATTTTGAATTATCAATTATTAGCTAATTCTTTCATATTATTCATTTAGCAATGTCTACTGATGTTAAGAAAACGTTGGCCACAAAACATTATGGATTTTTGGGATCTGGTAATATGTCTCAAGCACTTGTTAAAGGATTTTTATCCTCTGGTAAGCTGTATTTAATATTAGTAGTCTGTTGGTGGGATATTTTTGTTGTGAAAAGGAAGGTCATATTATTTATTGTAAAGAGGTGCTGTATGCGTAGGTGGCTCGATAGTAGAATGTTCACAAATGATTCCCGTGGTCTTTGTTCAAAACCCAGCTGATGCACTGCTAAACTTCGCTCAGCTGGTAGTAAGCCCAGAAAAGAAAAAAGGGCGTGCGATTAACAACCCAATCATTGCCAATGGAACTTGATAGCTTGAAGATCTTTATTCCACTTGGTATGTAAGGCAAAGTTATCGAGTCTTCTTTAACGCTAGACAACACTATTAGCTTAAAATTTTAAATAGGAGTGAACTAGGAAATTGAGTCTATACATGAAAGGTAAAAGTATTCCCGATTCATCTTCAACTAGTTTTAATCGCTTTATCACATAACCGTATACCTGACTCAACTGTATATTTATGATACGATATGTATTTGAACTCAGTTACTCAAAACAGATCTCTTGTGTAACAGGATATCAGCCTTATTTTTGTGAAGGATAATAACACCACCCTGTTGCTGAAACTAGGTGGAATGGGACTGAATGCGTGGAGATCCAGGCAAAACTAGTTGATGAGTTCTAAATGGGACAAAAGACGCATTCTGGATTGCATTACTAGCTTCCACCAACCAAGGATCAGAATTTATTTTGCTTTAATATACCACTGTTAGTTTATGTGACTGTCTGCTTCGCATAACCAGTTGTACAGTAAATTTAGCGCAAGTAAATTCATGGCATTTGTGTGTTAATTGCTCAACTGTTGTGATCTGAATGTCACTGAAATATTAACTGTCTAGTCGACTATTTTTATGAAAATATTTCGTTAAATATTTCACACTGATTTGTATGTTCTGTTTGTCTATTGAGTTATAAAATTTATTTCGGAAATATTCTGGAGTCTCTCTGTAAATAATCTTACTGACAATCAAACAAACTTGTTAAATCCAACGTATATCCTGTCTAATTTTTAGTATAGTTATATACATTTGCTTTGATCCGATTTCCAAGGAATATAAATTAAGTTGTGAAATAGTTAGACCCCGGAACAAGTCTTTCATGTTCTAGGCTGTGAACCACACATTTATAGTTTTGAGGACTGATAGTACTACCCAGTTGCTTAGCTACTGAAGTACGTGGGACAGGACTCGAACCCAGGGACCCCCTGACTGAAAGCTGAGTACTTACGCCAATGAACCACTTCTTCTTGAATCAGTTATGAAACCGTTAATCATTAATTTTGTTTGATTATGACACCATACAATACAATTTATACTGTGACAAGGAGAAGCAAGGTCATTTTCTAAGGGAATTTTAAGTACATTTAGGTAATTGATTTTACTGACTACGGAACACCATCCAAAGACGAAAGATAGTTTATTCCTTCTTTGATTTTCATTCATTTTATGACCGATATAATTCTTTGATTAGAGCTACTTTCAAATGAATCATGCACAAATCATTCAACTTAACTCTAAGGTTGTACAACGAGTTTTTCTGACTTGAAGATAATCTAGAAGAAATTTGTTGCGTCTGATAAATGATATTTAGATTTTGAAATTTATGAGGATTTTGATTAGTTTTAATATGGATTTCGTAACAAACCAGTATCAGGTATAAAATCACTAAGAACCAAACGACACTAGATAGTTATTTCGCCCTAGTTTAGCAGTCTTCAGTAGTGCGCCCCCTGGCGACATCATGATGGAACAGTCCCAGACCCTTCAGGTTACGAGGTCTACCTGTTGACCAAATAGCCACTAGGTTGGAACTCTTCGATCTGTGAATTTTAATTTGTCAATTCGTGATATATCGAGTGCTATCTCCGAAGGAATCTACACTGTGATCAAGGATAACTTATGGAAAAGAAGGAGAATGTAAGTGAATGTATGAAGTGACTTCTACTTCCTCACTTTTCATTATATGATTGAGCATTACCACATATCTGATATGTTGAATATCTGAAATTCTTTCCAAGTCACCGGTTAGAGTTGTCTACCTGTTGAAAATTAGTATCACTGGGACCTTCAATGGTCTCCTGAAAGTTCTGCATTAATTGTATATCAAGTAGATTAATGTAGTATATTTGTGGCGTGTGCTACTGATAAGATTTATGAGTAGTATATATTTAAGGAAATGTTCATCTGTATAAAAACGCCAAATAGCACGGAGATACATTTGATGTCAGAGAGAGAGAGCGAATAATACAGCCGTTTGGAGATACATGGGAGACGTGAAAGGAACACAAAGAAACAGTATGAATGAAGGCCAGAAGTAGCACAGTACGGAGGATCTGTGGAAATGTTGATTTGAAGATAAGATGTACATAATTTGACTATATGGAGATACCAAGTTGCAAATAAACATTTTTTTTACGAAGTCTTTCGCGTTCTACCGTTACATATTCACCTGTCGTTATTATTCTAGACCTTTGAGGTTAAAGGTAGAAATGTTTCCCTTATTTATAGTATTCTTTAGATAAATCGTAGATGATGCTTTAATTAAAACAGTTACTACAGAGATAAAATAGACTTATTGAACAACTATAGTGACAGTTGGCATTTTTAATCAATGCCTATGGATTATTAAACTTGGTGTTATTTATTTATTTTACACCTTTACACTCCCAATAGAACGTAGGGCTTTAAGTTAGAGCTTTGAAGATTCGGTAGCAATGGTGTCTATTTTTATGGGATGGTTTTGCTAGCTTCATGCCCAAGCTTCCCTCTTTATCAGTCTTATTGTTACTGGCTTAGCGAGGTAAAGGAGTGCGTCGACCGGGGGTCGAACTTTGAACTACATATGTAGTCGGCGTGCATTCTACTTCTGTGCTACCGACACACAAACTTTCGTATCAGGTATACTCATTCAAATTAATCTCTTTCTTTACTACTTTGTACGGATGTTATTGTGTTTTCATTGTAATACTCTTCAGGAATGGTTATTAGTTAAGCCATTCCGTTTGGGTAGACATTAATATTTCGGTGAGTTATTTTTTTCTTCAATTCAAACACTTCTCCATTGCTTAATAATGACCGATCTAGTCAAGTTAGTCAGCATGTTTACAAAAACATGCTCATTGAGTGTGAGTCTTGACTAAAATATTGTACACCAAGTTGTAAATATGTGTGACGATCATATTACTAACCATTATTACGTAATCTTGTAATAAGTTATTTCATTTAAATTTGGATGAGTTCATTAGAAGACAAAGTTTATCTGAAAAATGTGATCTGTTTGCTCAATGCATTTCAAACAGTCTTGTCACACACTTACTTGTCAAATCAATCTATATGTGAAGATTAAGAGGCGGTCAATTCAAATAATTACGAAGGGACTTAAGAATAAGCTGTCGTAACCAGAGGGGTGCACCAAGTCTATGACATTAGGTGGCAGTTGCGCTAAATATCTCGAGTGGGTAGAAGTTGGAATTCGTAGGCCATTGGATCATGTCCCAACAGCTTGTAGTCTGGAGGTTCTGGGTTCGAACCCCCGTGGTGGTTGCGCACTGATGAAGAGTTCCAACCTAGGTTGAAATGACTGTCCAGTGCTCCTAGGTTTTCCAATGATTCTCTAACTTATGTAAGCCAGGGATCAAACCTTGAAAGGACAATAATTACCACTACTTTTGGTGATATAGTCAGATAAAGATTACTAGGGTGGGTTATAAATATTAACAAATTATCTTTGTGTATACAGGGTGGCGCGGGGGGGGTTAATTTTAAGAGTAGCTATCGCCTCTGCATATTTCACCAATTTCTCCAGATTGTTTTCATAGATATTAATCTTGTGATTCACATCAATTAATTGTTTTGGTATAGATGAAGTTGATAATTTACCACTGACGTTTAGTGAGATTTCGCAATTCACTTGCTTTTCTAGCCGTTTGGGTATGTGTTCTCCCGCCATGACATGCAAAGCTCGACTACTGCTCCCTACATGTGTGTGTGTGTGTGTATGTACGGCCATGTACACATATGAAGTGGCATACAGTAGGCTGTGTGATATAATCTCTTGGGTAATTAATATCAGTAAAACGTTTGAGCATTGTGGAATCGACCAAATATAGTATAATTATATTTCAATAGTTTACACACAATGATAAATTTTGTTATTGGCAATATTTCGAACAAAATTACTGCCCGTGTTCACACCACTGTTGGAATTGTTTTATTCACACATTTATGATTTGTACTCATATATATATATATATATATATATATATATATATATATATATATATATATATATATATATATATATATATTGTTCATTATTTATATTTGCCACTGGACGCACTCCTTTACCTCGCTAAGCTATAAATAATACTGGTAAGGAGGGAAGGTTGCGCATGAGGCTAGCAACCTCATCCTGTAAAAATAAACACTGGCTTAAAGCCCTGTGTTCCACTGGGAATGTGAAGGAAAAAAATTTCATCATTTTAGTCTATATTATAACCTGTTAATTAAGTGTCCTAATATTGTTGAAACATTTTTAGGCATCATTAATGGTTCTCAAGTAACAATGACAGATCGTTATGGTTTATCATTTCCAGATGCTGAGGTATGTGTACACTTTAATGTAGAATGTATATACATGTTTGACGCTTTTGTATATTTAATTAATAAGGTTATGTATCTATTCATAATTTATGTATTGTTAAGTGAATCAGTAGAATTTGTTTGTATGTTTATGATAGTAGATGATAATTTTTGAAATTTTGATAATGTTATTACTGGATATTGTGTGTAAGCATTTATCATAAATCTACCTATCTATTATGTATATTCTTGAACTTGTTCATTCTCTGAAATAAAGGTAATGTCATAAATTCTTCACCTAGTTCTATGTGTATAGCGTGTTAAGATCTGAGCTCAGGGAAACAGTCTATGCGTTCCTCGGTATAACTAGCCTGAACTTCCTCATTGAGTTACACACAGTTATAAAATGCTTTGACGACAGCTAAATAAAACAGTTATTTCAGATGAAATCTATGGTACCATATAACAATAATATCATATCAAAAACTCAAAATTACCTTAGCAATACCGTTAGATAGCTATACAGATCAGATAAGTTTCTAGTAGAAAACCAGTACTGAGGGAATAAAATTAGTTGACCAAAATTCCAGCGTAAGAAGTACCTTAGAATCAAGTAGAATATTACCAACAAGGTTGGATCAAAACTGTCTCAGAAAGAGTCACATACCAACAATTCCCTTAGACAGTTCATTCACTCGAACAAAATCGAAGTTAATTGGTGGACGGTGACTAGCAGTGGAATCCAGGATGCGCATTGCGTCCTATTTGGGACTCGTCCCCTGTATATGCCTGCATTCCCCAGTAAGTGATGATGTTCCCACCGAGGCTGGAAAGTGGATAACGCTTTGGCGTTTGAAACTATGGGCACTGGGTTCGAGCCTTGGTGGGGACATCATCACTCACTGTGGAATGCAGGCGCATCCAGATAACGAGTCCTAAATAGAACGAAATGTGCATCTTGAATTCCACTGCTAGACACCATCCACAAATTAACCTCGAATTACATGCCCAGACATCGTTGAAGCATCTGAAGCACAAGAAGCCGACATGTCAACTTGAGACCGAGCACTTCGGTCCAGTCAATCGACCGGAAAACCTAAAATTGAATTAAATATTATCAATATTATCATACAACCACACAGAGAAGTGTTAAAATTAAAGATTAAACAGGAACAAGTAAAAATAATAAGGATCAAGTGAACAAGCGGTATCCAAACGTCAGAACAATGACATACAGTCTAGGGGAAAACCGGATTATTTAAAGCAATTAGTTCCCTTTATGAATTTCGACAACACAATAAGAAGACGTAGTTCATCTGAAACGTGTTTCACGTTTCACGTGTACCTTACGCGGCATTTAGTTCCTAGCTGTATGCCTAACCTTTTCTTTTCCTCATGCTTACCACCAATTAAATCAGGTTTAGAAGTGCGCCGGTCGAGAATCGAACCTAAACGACATGCACGGTCATCGAACACTCTACCACCTAACCAATGACATACAACCACTTATATTTAATAATAATAATAATAATAATAATAATAATAATAATAATAATAATAGTAACAGCTTTATTCCAAACGGTATTTGTGATACAGGTATGGAATTTTCAGCGTGCATTACAGTATATTGCATCTAATTACCTCATAAATTATATAAGATTTTTAAAATCAAAGATAAATAAATAAAAATAAAATAAATAAGCTATAAATAAATAAAATAAATAAAAATAAAAAAACAGTGTAGATTATTACATTTCAAACAATGCACCACAGGATTTGAAATATAAAGTTGATGTGTGATAGAAGATGAGAACAACAGTGTAATAGTAACGAGGAAAGGAAAACAAAAACTAATGAGACTATTTTTTAGAGTGCCGCAGTAATTTTATCGTGTCATACCTAACGGATTTCTCATCACATAACAGCTGTGCCAGATATGGTATTGTGAAGTTTTTGTATTTGGTAGTCCTAGCATAAAGCCGCCTATAGCTGCTTCTAGTAATTTACGGATAGTTTATTTTACTGATATTATGATTTTTAATAGTGTCAAGGCGCTTAGTCGACCACGATCGAAAAAAGGTTCGTTCACATGTGATGTCTCTACCTAACAATATGCAAAATAGTGTATTCTTTTAATCACATAGCCTGATAGTAATTATACCATACAAAAGTCAGTCTCTTCACATGAAATAATTATAGTTTTTGTTATTTTTTCTCAATTTATTTTGGAGTCAAAAGGTTAACTTTATGTTGAACAGGTCAGAAATAAATTCAGGTGTATTTTACGAGATACAAAACTGTTTACTGTTTACATACAGTTACTCGGGAAGTGATTTCTCATTCTCTGAACTATAATTCAAACTTATATTGTGTAAGGACTAAAAATGCCACCACCGAGTTACCCTGTCTAAAATAGACAGAAAGGGATTCGAACCCGCGACCTAGTGACTAGGAGTTGACTGACTGGTCAAGTCAATAAACTATATCTCCAATGTGTGGCTCAGTGGTCTACTGGATAACGTACTTAAATTTAGTCTCATTAAACAATTGCTGAATGTCTTTTGATGCTATTTTTAGCTAACCAAAACTTGGAGTTGGTTTTTTTGACTCCTGAATAACGTTTTCAGTTGAATTAAGTGGTATAATCTATCGTAATGTGTATAGTAAATTGAAACAGATGTTTCTACCTCCTTTCGACAACAGTAGTTTGTGTTTTATCTATTAGTTTAATAAAGAAACGCTTTCAGTTGATTTTAAATTCCATATTCCAAGAGAATATGACAAAATCAACACAGAATCCGAATTTTAAGACTAAGTTAAAGCCAATAAACGGAGAAATACAAGGCTGGTTGAAGTCCGAGCTAGTAGTTTTCGCAAATTATTATATACTCCTACCAACCGTATTGTGGTGAGAGCAGGCTGCTAGCCGATTGGTTGGCACTAATCTACGTTAATGTCTAGGTCACTAATATTGACCGTGAACAAGGCTGTTTCAACAACCAATCACAGCAAACCTAAATGTGGACAAATATGATTCGCAGATAGATGGCTCTACTTTCCGAGAAATATCGAACACAACCAATCATAAGACTGTGTTTGTCTGCTTAACTTCCGAGAAACAACCAATCAGAAGACTGCCTTTTTCTGCTTGCATAAGCCTTATTAATGCATATAAAATATATATAAATACGTGTTGATTTTCGTAATAAAACGATCTGTTGCCAGCCCTTGTCTTCTGTTGTTACATTTGGTGTCGCTGCCTCCAAGAAGATGAAGATCCCGTGGCCAGCTGCGTTTGAAGAAGGTGACATACGGAGCTTCTTACGTGACTTCGAAGCCGTTGCTGAGCTGGTGGGTGTCAAGGAGCAGGCGGCGAAGGCAGTTGTCCTGGGGACGCTGTTGAGAGGCCGAGCGAAGGCTGCATATGACAGCGTAGACAGGTCAAATGGCACAGCGTCTTGGAAGAAATTGGTTGAACGACTAGTGTCCGAGTTTGACAGCGAAACAGACAGACAGCTAGCAATGCAGCAGTTCCGGTCAATGAAGCTTGGACCTGATGGAGACCCGCTAGTGTTGGCGGTGAAACTGACTAATCTACTTCGACGCGCGCTTCCCACTTTAGATGAAGAATCAGAAGCGCAGTTACTGTCTTCCCAATTCATCGAGAGTGTCCCAGACCACATTTCTCAGCGATTAAAACTGGTTAACGCAACGCAGCCGATGGATATTAGTGAGCTGGCGAAGGTGACCAGACAGCTGCTGAGCACAACGGTAGCCGCTATAGACCAACCAAAACCAAACGAATATGAGCAAAAATTGAAGCATTGCAGCGGGAAGTGGCGGCGTTAAAGTTGGCTGATAGAAAAGACCGGTGTTTTGAATGCGGTAAGCCGGGACACTGGAGAAGATACTGCCCAGAAAGGCGAAAAAGAAAAAATTTCAGACGGTATAATGCTTGTTCTTTCTTTCGTATGAACCTAGGTTTAGTGGGGGCTATTGAGAAAGGCGCTCTGTATTCGAAGTTGCGAGTGAATGATCGAGAAGTAGTATGTTTGATAGATACAGGGCGGCCGTGTCGTTAATAGATAAGAATTTATGTAAGAGTGTTAATCCGTGTTCATTGACAGTACAAACAGTAGGCGGGTATGTGTTGCGTATCACGGGTAGATCGAACTGTACGGTCGTTGTTGGTGGCTGCGAGGTGACGTTTCCTTTCATTGTTGTACCCGAACTACAGCGAACGATATTAGGAGCGGATTTTCTGCGTGAGATTGGTGCCATAATCGACACGCAAGCGAACGTGGTGATCACGAAATACGGGCATATCAACATGTATGAGACCAGCGAGATAGCAGCGATTAAGCTGTCGACGGTACACAATGTGACAGAGTTAATTAATAAATACGATCATCTGTTCACTGGAGATGGCGACCCATACGGTTATTGCGATAAGGTGAATCATGAAATTCCGTTAAGTGATCCGAAAGTAAGGTCATTTTTAACGCGAAGAGTTCCATGTCATCTGGAAGGCGAAGTGGAGCGACAAGTGCAAGAGATGTTAAAAGATGATATTATTGAGGAAGCTGATAGCCCATACAACTCTCCAGTGCTGTTAGTAAAAAAAGCGAATGGGAAGTATAGATTCTGTGTTGATTTTCGACAGTTAAACAGTATGACAGAGTTAAGACCGTGTGCCATGCCAACAGTGGTAGAAACCTTAGATCGCCTACAAGGTGCGAATGTGTTTTCGGTTCTCGATCTTCGCTCAGGATACTGGCAGATACCGATAAAACAAAGTGACAGAGATAAGACGGCTTTCATCGTGGGTCAGACACAATATCGATTTAAACGCATGCCGTTTGGACTAGCAGGTGCACCGTTTACGTTCAGACGACTGATGAAGCTATTACTTAAGAACTTGAAAAACGTGGAGGTTTATGGTGATGATCTCGTCATATACAGTCAAACGAAAACGATCACGTCAACCATGTAGAAGCCGTGCTGCGACGCATCGAAGAGTTTGGACTACGCGTCAACAAAACCAAGTCTCAGATAGCCAAAAAGAATGTTACTCTGTTGGGACATAAAGTGGGAAATGGTGAGATTAAACCACTGCCGGAGAAAATTTTGACGATTAAAACGATTCCAGCCCCGAATTCAAAGAGAAAACTGAGACAATTCTTGGGTAGAGCAGCGTTTTATAGTCGCTTCGTGAAGAACTTCAATGAGATAGCAGCCCCTCTATACAGGCTACTAGGTGAGCCAAAGTTTGTTTGGTCGGAAGAATCGCAGAGGACATTCGACAGAATTAAACAGCTGCTCGACCACCAACAAATGACGCTAAAACTACCTGTGCCAGGAAGACAGTTCACAGTGTGCACAGATGCCAGTGACTACGCTATAGGTGCGGTCCTAAGACAGGACGAGGGAATCGTTGAGTATGCCAGTAGGGTTTTGACCCTCACAGAGAGAAAGTATTCAACGATAGAGAAAGAATGTTTAGCAATGGTATGGGCAGTCGACAAATGGAGACCTTATTTACTCGGCCGGCGGTTCCACATCGAAACTGATCATAAGCCGCTACAATTTTTGAAGACAGCGAGAGACCCACGGGGGAAGTTGTCACGGTGGATGTTGCGTCTTCAGGAGTACGATTTTACGATCTCACACGTTCCTGGAAGTGAAAATGTCTTGGCAGATTTGTTATCGAGACCAGAAGATGAGTCTGAGTTGCCCGAGGTCGCTTACGGAGTGCATGCAGTAGAACAAGACCCACTAAGACTTGCACGTAGGCAGAGGTTGGACGATACGCTGAATACAGTAATACAGGTGATCACCAACGGAATAGAAGTGGATCAAACTACGGCGAGTAAGGAGCTAACCACACTACTCAGACAGAGGGATCGACTCAGAGTGAATGCCTACGGGACTCTGACCTGGCGAGAGAACGACGGAAGCTGGCTGGCTGTCATACCTCAATCGTCGCGCCACGACATGATAGAAGAATGTCACCAGCTAGCGCATACAGGCGTGGCCAGAACGACCGACCTCCTAAGACAAAGTATGTACTGGCCAGGTATGAGAGAAGACGTAGCAAGATACGTACTTGGATGTCCACGGTGCCAGCTGATGAAAGGTGACCGGTATATACGACCACCACTTCAGTCGATTCCAGTTACCGCGATAGGTGACTTGTGGTCCGTAGATGTCATGGGTCCATTTCCTCAGACATCCAATGGTAATCAGTACCTCTTGGTGATGACGGAACACGCGACACGATGGGTAGACGCCGTAGCAATCCCAGACCAACGTGCAAGAACCGTGACAGATGCAGTAGTTAGACACATTGTTGCAGACCACGGCGTACCGAAGACAATACTGACAGACCAAGGTCCCTGTTTCGAGAGTGAAGAGTTTACTTCCCGTTTGCAACAGCTGGGCATCAAGAGGATCAGAACGACCCCATACCATCCACAAACGAATGGCCTAACGGAGAGAAACAACCGTACACTGAAGGAGTGGCTGGCTTCGAAGGGCGGGAACTGGGAAACGGAGCTTCCACTGATTTTACTAACACATCGGGCTACCACTCAGGAAACAACGAAGAAGTCACCCTTCCAACTGATGTATGGTAGAAAACCACGATTACCGGTACACAATGAGACCTGGCCCATGCACCAAAAGTGGAGTACGACGAAATTAAAAGCAGAGAGGAAAGAGGCAGTCAAGAATGTAATACGGAAGCAGCGCAGTGATGTCACGAAGTCTCAGATGAAAGAAAGGACGCAGTGCATTACCTTTGCAGTCGGGGACCAAGTGAAGTGTAGAGACAGGAGATATACAGTTGGAGGCGGGCTAGGTTCACGGAAACTCCTTCCAAAGTGGGAAGGACCATACACAATCACAAAAAGACGGGGTCAAGTATATACCATCCGAAGAGGTGATAAACAGAAACGAGTTAACGCCAGTCAGCTCCAAAGATGGGTACAGTGGGACAAGCCGGTCAGTAACAATCCTCAACTAGAGGATGTAGCACCCAGAAGGTCGGAACGTCTGCGCACAAAGCTATTTGACGGGGGGACGAGTGTGGTGAGAGCAGGCTGCTAGCCGATTGGTTGGCACTAATCTACGTTAATGTCTAGGTCACTAATATTGACCGTGAACAAGGCTGTTTCAACAACCAATCACAGCAAACCTAAATGTGGACAAATATGATTCGCAGATAGATGGCTCTACTTTCCGAGAAATATCGAACACAACCAATCATAAGACTGTGTTTGTCTGCTTAACTTCCGAGAAACAACCAATCAGAAGACTGCCTTTTTCTGCTTGCATAAGCCTTATTAATGCATATAAAATATATATAAATACGTGTTGATTTTCGTAATAAAACGATCTGTTGCCAGCCCTTGTCTTCTGTTGTTACAGTATGATCTAATGTCTTCTTTTAAGAGCATCAAATAGCATTTTAGAAATCTAGTAAGTGATTCGATAATCATGATATTGCGAACTGAAAAGGATTCCGTTGTAGTTTTAATGAACAGGGATGAATAATATGGTTAAGATCAAATCAGTTCAAAATTATTCATCACGATTTTTAATGGACATTAAGATGAAGGGTATGATAGAAGCCACAGAGAAACAGGTGACAAAGAAATTAAATGAACTTTTAAGGGAGAAACTAATAGACTTTTCAACCTATAATGAACTGAAACCACGGGATTTGCGCCTACTTTTTGTGTATAATAATATAGTTAGGTTGAATCAAGCTCATAAGTGGATGAAAATTACTTTATCAAGGTCTGTGGTGGTCATAGTTTGATTTTTTGTGAATATCAGGTTAAGCACACTTGGAGTCATGGATCTATTTTGGGCTTTTGGTACCAATTAGCTGTGTAAGTGTATGTTAGATTAGCTATAGGATTAGTATTGTACGGAGAGGACTTTCGTATGCTAAAAATAATCTTAGAAGGGCGTTTTCATCAGGCAGATTTCTTACTGATAAAAAGTTAGGTAAAATGAAGCGATCGTTAAACCAGTCACAAATCTCAAATAAATTTCTTCCCCGTATTCTGGCACATAATACTGGTTGACTAATATAGATAGCTGGATACTACTCACATCAACCAATAGCGCTTGTTAGGGTGATTTCCAAAGGAAACTGTGGTTACATTTTTATCTCGAACTGTGTAATTTGTAAATTGAGAATGTGAGTTTTTTCGCGCCTAGGTTACTCTACAAAATAGACATTGAGTTGTTTCTTTTTTGTTGCATTCACTTGTATGGTTTATATGTTTATTTAGTTCATAGTGTCGTTAAAAAATTTATGTGCTGTAAGTCGTAAGCTTTGGAGTTTGATGTTGTGTTTTGGTAGTAAGTTATGATTTATTAGTTCAGTTGTGATGATTTTACTGTTAAATATTTGTGGCTACTGATTTCTACATCAGTAGTATGACGCTTTTACACAAACTTTTCAACTATGATCAAGTTCTGGTGCTGCATGCTCTTGGTAGTTGAGAGATTTGTATCTTTCGCTTTGAAAATTTTTCGTTTTTTCTGGTTAATTGTTTAAGTTTTGTTTTAAAAAAAGTGTACTTTATGACATTTTTTTTACAGAACCTTTCCGATTATGGTAAGAATAGAAGTCACATAATATTGGTCGTCATACCTTTTGTTCCTTTGTAACATATATAGTTACACGTTCCTATCGCAATCATTTTCTTGTGGTGAATTGTTCATTCCGTTGTGTTTTTAGGGGGAAATTTTCGTTGAGGCGCAAAATCATGGACTCTGTAATCAAAATAACAAACTCTAAATCATTGGTGGCTACTGGGTAGATGTCCGGATGTTGTAATAGAGAGTTTTGGCCAATGGGATCCATTATACCAGGATGAAATGGATGCTCATCGGGGATGGTAGTTGGAATTAACGCTAAATCATGAATTGATGGAAGTTAGAAATCACGGGTCACTGAATTTCGGTTAAAATAGTTGAATGAACGGTCAACGAGTTGTTCTGAAAATCCCGGGTTCGATTCCTGGTAGGGTAGTTGAGACACTGTTGAGGAGTCTCAAACTGTGGCGATAAAGGTGTTTAGTAGTCCCTAACGTTCAGTGATTCTCTAGACGATGTTGATTCTTGACGAAGTATGCAGTTAAGCTATATCAGTTTGTTTATTTGATATAGAACACAGTAATTGATTTTTACAGCTGACAACATAAAACATATTCCCAAACCATTTAAACACAGGATTGAGTAACTTAGCTTCGTGCCATATGATGTCAGTTCAATTTCGTTTACCATATGATAAAAACTACACGGTAAACTTGGTTAGAAGTAAGAACTCAGGTACTTAGAGCAGTCTTTTTATGAATTAAGCTTCCATCTACACTTATTGTGTAAGGACCGACAGTATTGCCCAGTCATTCAGGCTGAAGAAGGATAGGGCGAGTTTCAAACCTGTTAGTTAAGTGCCAAAAACCAAGGAGTTGAATCTCCACATGATTACAAAATTAAGGAAATAGTGAAGCGAAATACAACCAAGTCAATTCAAGCTTTACATAAATACATAGTTATTATTAGTATTCTTGTAGGTTCCGAGTGAAGCATAAGGCTTCAACAACACCTCTCCACTTTGTTGTATTTTCTGATGTCCTCTTCAGCTAGGTTCACAGTCGCCCATAATCATGTGGAAATACATAAGTGGCTATAATGCAGTACAATTTAAAAATATTTCTTACGGTTTTACAAGTGCGTCAGTGGCACAGCGGTAGAATGGTTGCCAACCACGCCTCATATGGTTCGGGGTTCGGTCCCCGGACGACGCACTCTTAAACCTCGCTAAACCAGTAATAAAACTGGTAAGGAGGGGAGTTTGGGCATGAAGCTACCAACCCCATCCGGTAAAGAGAAACACCATTGCTACCGAAACTTCAAGCCTCTAGCTTGAAGTCCTATGTTCCACTGGGAACGTGAAAGAAGTAAAAACAATTGGGTAATTCAATCTATGGATCACGTTGTAGTATAATTGGTGAGTTGGGGAGTGCGACATTTCCCAACTGTCCCTACCGAAATATCTACCTCTCTTAGGTGAGAATGTCTGCAGCACCTGACAAAATTGAATCCACAGTACATCAAAATAATATCAGAAGATGCATCTCTGGATTATTATTGACCAAACAGGTTCATTCACTTTTCTCATGTTTACATCCTCTACCTCATGTGTAATTGTAATTAATGGTTTGCAACTTCTTTGGGCAGGTCTTTTGTGTTCACCAACTGAGCATTGAGCCTTCGGCGTTTGCATTCATCTTTTCACTTTTGTGGAGAAACTTTGAGCCAAATGAATATAGGAAATAGAACTTCTCTAGCAGGAAAGTATTTCAGGAGGCAGATACAGACACGTGTACCTTTGGTCCCCGTTACCAGTTCGTCAGACAAATGAAAAGCCAAGAAGCATTGAGTAACTGTCTCGTCTGGTTTCAGATAGTTAGCTATTCCTCATCCATATAATAGGTCGTAACCAGGATTGGTTACAACGACAAGAAAGACTTAATGGTTTTCTTTAGTTCGTAGAACAACATAAGGCTTCAGCCACACGTCTCCATTGCACTCAGTTCTCTGCTAACGTTTTCACCTGGTTCCACCTCTGTCCACATGCTTTCATCTCCTCTTCACATGACCTCCTCCATGTCACCCTCGCACTGACGACCAGCTCGCTGCTTCCCCTTCGGGTTCCACTCGAGCAATGGCCTGGCGTGTGATGTCACTCACTTGATGGTTTGTTTCCTCAGCGTATGGCCAATCCACCTCCATTTCTTCCTGCATATTTGTTGCACAATCGGTTCCTGCTGGGTTGGTTCGGTAATTGCCAGAGATCCTTTTCTGCTGCTGATCTCTTCTGGTCGGCCATCTGATCTTGAGTATTGAGCGAAGACCGCTGTTAATGAAGGTCTGTAATTTGTTTGAGATGCTCTTCATGACGCACCAAGTCTCTGATCCGTATAGCAGCACTGACTTCACATTTGAGTTGAATGCACTAAAAACAGGGTTATGCATTATGGTACTTTCGTTTCTCTAGTCATGTATTTTGCCTTTATGCTGTTATTTTCATGAAATTTTCCCTATCTCTCTGTGTTTATTTATCATGATGATAATTGACAAGTCATTAAATGGAGTGTTTATTTTACTTTCCTTATCATCGTCTAGTGATTAATTTCTGGTGTGTCTGCTTGTTTTTATTTCACTGTGTAAAGTGATACTGTGTTCTTTCTGCGAACTTAGATGGATAGCCTGAGTAGCACAGATAAACAAAATACTTTTCTTCTCCTGTTATGTTATGTGTTATATGCATAGTGGTACAGGTGAAATAATCATGATTTTGTGGTTGATAATCTGAAATTTCTGTGTGTGTGCAAGGTGGTTTTGATTGATCAGCATTAACTTGATTTCTTTCTTTATTTTGGAATAATTTTGTGTATTCGTAATAACTGTCATTCACTTTTATTTTGGTTTTCCTTTTAGTGGGGATTATAACTTTCATAAGTTATGAGATGTTACGTTTCCTTTTGTATGTGGTAAATCTATGGCTGTGTTGATCACTTTGTTTTCTGGTTCACTCTTCAGATTCGTACAATGTGCAAATTAGACTCAATAGAAATCTATAAGTATTTGGATAAATATAGCTGATGTGCTTTAATAGATGTGAAATTCAGAAACTAATATTCAGTAATTCTGTATTAGACAAGTTTATTTGATATAATACGCAGTGATACAATATTAATCACTGGATGACATTTCGAGCATAATTTATCGGTGGAAAGCATACGAATTTATTCACGCGATTTCATAATTTCATTTGCCTTAGGTAGCATTCTTAATAAAGCCTGGATCAGGGTGGTATTTACACCGACCAACCAAATCACTTGGGAACACAATTTGTCGGCTCAGATACCCAATAGATCCAATTAATTTTTAAGTGTGTTTGCAGGGATTTTGTTTGACTGATTAGAGGATTTCATCATGACCTCACATCGGTTAGAGAACCATTGGAAAACCTGCAAGGAGTACTGGACAGCTGTTTCGTCCCGTCGTCAGTACGCACCCACTACGAGGGTTCGAACATAGGACCTTCTGGTTACAAGACAAGCTAGCTCGTAGACCATTAAGCCACCGAGACCCGATCCATTGGCCAGCCCATGAATTCTAACTTCTGCCGATTCATAACATAGCGCGACCACTTCTCAATGCTTCTTCGATGAGTAACCATCCTCACCGTCAATCTGGACGAAACAGCTGTCCAGTACTCCTTGCAGGTTTTCCAATGGTTCTCTAACTGATGTCAGGTCATGATGAAATGCTCCAACTAAATGATGGATTATACTCGAAACTTCATCCAGTTGTTAATATTCTGTCACTTTGGCTTACATCGAATAAACTTATCTAATTTGGAATTATATCGTATTACAATTCCAGAATTCTACTCCTAAATCAATAATACTTAGTAGTTTTTAGGAATTCGACTAATTTCAAAAGAAGTGAGCTGGCGAATCATTGAAAACTAGGTAACACTCAACAACTGGTTTGTCATAATTTTGGGTTGAAATCTACCTTGTTGCATAATTATCAAACTACAGATTGTAATCGCTGATTATTTGCTGAGATTTCGATGTTAGCACGCTTAAAATGTCAATTGACTAATCAACTAACACCGGGGCTGTGCTGAAACAGATAAATTCTCTTTCTGCATTTTTGTATCATTACAATAAAATAGTAAACCTAATCAGTTTCCATAAACTCGCTTAGTGTAAGTGTTTTCTTCACAATCGTATTTATTATCAAACTAGCCTGTATTATTAATTAGGGGAATTACGTAATAAGTTACTGAAAAGGTAAAATTTTATCCTGATAAAGTCACACAGTGTTTGTTGTACAGTAATATTTACTGATGAAGTTCCGAGCACAAATTATCGCCACTCATAATCATATCAAGGCACTGACACAACTTTTTCGCTTCATTTATATACATGTGTGGAATTGACTTCATGTTTGAATAGAAATCAATATGAGATAATGTACATTCAGAAATAATAATACGAACAATAGCACTAAGTAGCACAAGAAAAGACCTAAATGATGAAATAAAACAGATAGAAGAGGCGTTGGTGTTAAATAACTATCCTTTAAAATTCATTAGGAAGATTGAAAACGGTCAAAAGCAAATTTAAAATAATGGGGAAACTAGTAATGATAGCATAAATTATTATTATTATTTTTTTGATTTACAGCTTGATTCCACACTGTATTTTCGGTACAAGTATGGAATTTTCAGCATGGATATCGGTAGCCCAAATTTCGCAGGCCGACCATAGATATCAGATGTGCGTCGGTGCGGGCTCGAGCCCCGGACCATGTGCATGGTCGGCGAGAGTCCTAACCACTGTGCCACCAAGGCACAGAATAAGGCGTCTACACTTTTACCGTATAAGGAGGGGACATTTGAGACCCTACGTAGGATTCTTAATAAAGCAGGAATTAGGGTGGCATTCAAACGTACAAACTCACTCAGCTAGGACAAGTTCTGTAGGCTAAAAAACCCTGTAGACTGACCCAATTAGACAAAATAACATAACTTACAAAATGCCTTACGATGACTGTGAGTGAGATCAATTACATAGGTCAAACTAGTAGATTGGGTGTAATCAGATTGTCGGAACATAAGAATTTAGCTAAGGTAATCATGGTTAACCCCTTGAAGATGAGTAATTTAAAAAAAAGCTGAGCAATTGCATTGCATGCATTAGCACTCAATAGGGTGGGTGAGGTATAGGTGGACAGGGAGAGAGAGAGATTGATTACCGAATCCTGGTTCATTGAGTCTACACCCAACACAACACATGCAACAGAAATAACTCAATGCAAGTACCATAGATATGGAAGATATTATTACCAGATGAGGAGAATAAATAATGTTAAAATGTATTCAATTCACAGTATAACATTCTAACAAGTTACTTATTTTTACTGTAAAAAACATCTTATTTCCCATCTTATTGTATTTGATTAATAACACTAATATTGTTTCTCAATGTACTTTATCTTATATTGATTTTATTCAAATGTGTAATCATCAGTTCTTACTCATGTATATGATTATGAGCAGCAGTAATTTGTGCTCGAAACATGTTCATCAGTAAATATTATTACTGTATAACAAAAACTGTGTAATTTTATCAAAATAAATTTTACCCATAATGGAATTATACTCTGCCACAGTGCCCAAGTTTTATCCTTATATTGAAAAGGTGTAATTTCCAAACTATATATGCTAGTCGCAGGCTATCCTGTTCATTGTGTTATCTATTTCTGGATAATTATCACACAAAGTCAGTCACTCCTAGTGCGGAGGTGGTTTTATAAATATTCACCCTTCGCATTAATTGTCGTTTAATACGAGTTACTGGACTTTTCTATATGAAGCAAAAAAAACCAAAACAACTTTTCAGTAATTATTTATAATTTTGATGTTTATTTATCAGCTGTTCAGTGGAGATTTGAAAGAAAGAGAGAGAGAGAGAAGTTTTAAAGCTATTACTGACCATATTCTATAAATAGAATCTGTATCCTTTTTAAAGGTGACAAAATTTTCTAAATCCCACTCATTTTTAGACTTGTTTCATGCGCAAATACAGGAAAAAATACGGTAACGATACTTGTTTTCAAGCCTTCTTATCCTCAAGAATAAGGAGGATATGTTCAAGTGATACAATCGATGAGAAACTGGAGCGACTCAGACAAGTCCTCATAGAGAATGGATATCCTCCAAGATTTATCGAGAAAAACATAAAGTTAAGGGAAAAGCTTGAAAGAATCCAGACGGTGCCAAAGAAATTGCTATTTATCAGTGTTGAATTTAAAGATGATACCGCAGCTGAGATCCTGAAGAATCGCTTATGCAGATCACTGAGGAAGGCCTTCTTTATGGCTGAGCTACGTGTCAATTTCTACAGCCGACAAATGGTCAACGGATGTGTGAAGGATAAACTGCCGCTATGAGCCACTTCGATGTGTGTTTATAAATTCACCTGCTCGTTTGGAGCTAGTTACATCTGCCGCACAAAGCACACGCTTTCCAAACGCATCTCTGAACATTATCCGAGATGGTTAGCAAAGGGAAAATGCAAGACAATTACTAGCTCAATTCTCGAGCATTTAGTGAACTCAGGCCACGTAGCTTCACCAGAGTCGTCTTTCAAGATCATCTACAAAGTGAAGCCAAGTGGTACAAAGGGCGTCAGGTTTCGTCTTTTGTGTATGGCGGAGGCGCTGGCAATTTATCAATACAAAACCCTGAACTCTGTATACAGAAAAAGTTTGTCCAGTCTCTTACTCTACCTTGGTCTTAACCTCTTCACTAATCGTTCCTTGTAAAAAATTTTGAGTTTTGCTTTTCTTTTTTAATTTTACTTTTAGTTTACTCTTGTTTTAATAATTAATTCGCTATTATCACTCCCATATGCTCCTTCTGTACATTTCACACCCTGTTCACATTTGTTATAATTGACACTCAAATACCACCTTTATTCTCACTCAATAGCAATTTTAACCTTATCAAATTTCTATTTTTGTGCCATTGAGTACCACGTAATTTACAACTTATAATTTTCACTTCTAAACCCACTTTTGAGTAATTATAGCAATTACGTCACCCCGTATTACTCAGTAATAGACCACTGTATATTTTGTAAGTATAAATACGACTGTACAGCCTTTGAAGATGATTTCGTCGATAAAGAAAATTTTCTTCGTTGAATCTGTCTTTTATTTTCTTCAATCTCAAGTTTGATCACAGATTCATATCAGTTAGAAAACCATTGAACCACTAGATAGTTGTTTTTCCTAGTTTGAGACTCTTCAGCCTTCCACACCAATGACATCACCGTAGATTGAACCCAGCAGCTTCAGCTAACGAGGCAAGCTCGTTGATCCATTCAGCCATTGCAACAGAATCCAATGAATTCAAACTTCTGTCATTTCGCGAGTTTAAGCCCCCCATCGCCAATCAACGTGACTGTTGAGTATTTATTCACTCACATTCTTGCAAACTTACTTTTGAAAGTTAATCTGACTCTTACTAGTAACTGACTACAGGACAGATTCGCCTGGAGTTCTAGTCAGAAGTCGTGAATAGTCGAGTCCACTAATTGGGTGTCAAGATAAGTAGTCGCCGATAACATTGGCTGGCGCAAAAACCGCAGATTGCATCCCAGTGGGTAAATGATCAACGAGTTCGCCTTGTAATCCAAAACCCCTGCCTTCGATCCCTGGTGCTGGCTTCATGGGTGTGTACTGTTAAAGAGTCCCAAACTAGGACAAACCCGTTGTTCTGAACACCTTCAGCAGCAATCTTCGTATGTTTGGCATGCGATTCGCCCCTGTAATGTGTAAGATGCTGCTACAGGACTGGACCACGTCAACTCCTAGCTTAGTGATAGGGAGTGAAGTAATAGATTATGTTGACCACTTCACCTATTTGTGAGGTTGAATCAGCACCAACGGACTGATTGGCGACGAAATCTCAGCACGGATCCAAAAAGCTCGAGCTGCTTTCGCTAACTTACACCCTCTCTAGCGTAGGCGTGACATCCGGTTATCAACCAAGGGACGTGTGTACTGCTCAGCAGTCCGCTCCGTCCTTCTCTATGGCTCTGAAACATGGCCAATACGAGTTGAAGACATGAAAAGGTTGACTGTTTTTGATCATAGTTGTCTACTATTTCTTTCTCACGTTAGGTGGTATAATAAGGTAAGTAATGTTGACGTTAGGCGTAGAGTGTTGGGCAAAGAGGGAAAATCAATCGACGAGGCTATAATGTTACATAGACTAAGATGGCTAGGTCACGTGGTGCGCATGCCTAACCACCGCCTCCCCCGACGGGCATTGCTAGCTGATATAGGTTCAGGTTGAAAAAGAGCCAGTGGTGGCCAAACAAAAACATGGCCTCATCAATCCATGAAATCCTTGACAGTTAAACTGAGTCGGTCAGGTAGGGAGATGCAGACTTCCGGGACTGACTCTAGGAATCAATGGCTGGAGACAATAGGTGACATGGCTCAAAATCGTTTTCAATGGCCAGCGCAGATGTATTCAGTCTCTGTAATCTTTCATATTCCTTTCTACCATTACCCATTCTGTTTCGCTCTTATACCTGTCAAACTCTATTGATTCTTTTAACTCATCTTGTCTACTTTTGTGTGCTATTTGGAAGGTAGCAACTCGAACTGCTGCACTTCGGTGCCAAGTTCTATGTTGAATCCAGACAGACAGTTGAACTATACTCATCGGTTTTCAATGGTCATCAAACTGATGACAACCTCTGAACAAACTTGAAAGATATTTGTAATATTACTTCTAAGTAAACTTGAACTTATACATATCTAATTTTTACTTGAAGGAATATGCAGCATTCTACTTTGAACATACAGTTTTTCATTATTCTTGTCACTTTTAATCGTTTATTTATACTTTTCTCCCCCATGATTTTCTTCTTGATGTATAGAAATATGGAGTGGAGTATATTCAAACAAATGAACCAATGGTTGAAAAAAGTGATATTGTATTCGCTTGTGTCAAGCCGCATATACTTCTTCCAGTTTTAAAACAACTTTCAGATAAACTACATAATAAATTGTTAGTTTCTATTGCTGCAGGCATTACACTAGAACAAATACAACAGGTAAAGTTCATGTTATTTTTTTTATATGGAGAGTATATATTAATCTTGCCCTGTGATTTATGTACTTTGATTAGATACTAGTTAACAGCGAGTATCATGCGTCTAGTCTTTTGTTTACTGCAGAATGTCTGTCTGTTTTCGATATAGAACTTTGCACCGATGTGCGGCAGTTCAAGTCACCACACTCCATGTAGCACACAAAGCAAGAGAAGAAAGTAGAAGAAACGTATATTAGGGTCAGTAAACAGAGATGTGAGACAAAGGAATAGTATTAGCGAAGAACAAAACAGTTTCATTGGAAATCATAAGTCACAAGGAGTGGATGCATCTGAGCCAGCCATTGAGAACGGTTTTGAGCCATGTCAACAAATAGTTTCCAACCATTGGTTTTTACCGTCCCGGGGACCCCAACCAGTTAGGAAGTCTACACCTTCCTACGTGACTGGCTTAAACTAACTGTTGTGGGTTTCATTGACTGGTGAGGCCATGTTTTGGTTTGACCGCCGCTAGCTCTTTTCCAGCCTGACCCTATATCTGCTAACATTGCCCGTCGAGGAAGGCAGTGATTAGACATGCGTCGTAACACATGTCCTGACCATCTTAGTTGATGTAATTTCACAGCCTCGTCGATTGATTTCCCCTTCTTACCTAGCACTCGACCAGTGCCTAACCTCAATATCGCTCACCTTACTATACCACTTCACACGGGATTTAGAGCTCAGGCACCTATGATCAAAGACAGCTAGCCAGCCTTTTCATGTCTTCCACTCTCAATGGCCACTTCTCACAGTCATAAAGGAGGACGGAGTGGACTGCTGAGCGGTACACCCCCGCCCTTTGGTCGATAGTCGGATATCACTGACTAAATTCTTTCAGTCAAGTTTACAATGTAGCCACCATGCTAGGTGGCTGAACATCGCGGTGCACTTCGAATTGTTGTTATTAGATGGTTGGAATCAATCAGCAGGAAGCTTTGGACCTAGGTTTCGTGCTTACTGGCACTCGTCAGCAAGGCTTCCTGACGATAGCCTCCAACTATCTAATAACAATGATTTATTTAGCAATGTATGTTTACTTCTCTTTATAGCATCTCCGATAAATGTGTATTCACCTCAGTATATTAGTCTCCGCAATGAATGTCGAAGTCAGCAACTGTCGTTTTAAAGGTCAGGCTTTTGAGTCATGGTTAATTGCATCTTATTGAAGTAGTTATGTCTTCATAATGCAATTGGATAAATTGTTCTTCTACATTGATGTAGGTTAAATAAAGAAATACATTGTTATTACGTGAGGTTGCACTTGTACAAAGTGACATATTTTCCAGCCACAGAAAAGATTTAGATTAAAAAGATTAAAGGGGCGTACAGCCGATGAGTCCTGAACAAGAACCAAACAGCTTTCCAGTTCTGTCTGGTTTTCAGTGATTCTCTAATTGATATCAATCCATGCTCAAACTGGAAAAACATATCAAATCCATGAATCTTGAAAATGCTAGGAGATAATTAGTGAATAAAGATTATTTCTCTCGATAACTTCGTCGTCAGTTTTTGCAGGTATGCATCCTCATAATAGCTAACGAATCATTCCTCTGGTTCAAACTGACTGACTGACTGACATTCCACTTAGAACTTTGCACAGAGGTGCATCAGTTCAAGTTACCACACTTCATATAGCACACATAGAGAGAAGAAATTCGAAATGACTGTAATGAGCAGAGATGCGTGGGGTGAAGAATAGTAACATGGAAAGAACATGAGGATTTAAGTGTTTACAAAGAGTTAGCGGACCTGCGTCACTGTGAACAGTTTTGATTCTTATCATCAGTAGTCTCAAACCGTTGGTTCTGAACACCCATCGACCCCAACTAGGTAGTCTACACCTCTTTGCATGACCCAAACTAACAGTCAGAGATTTCACAGATTGATTTTAGGTTGTGGTTTTAATAGGATCCCGCATAAAATAGCATATCATCATTTCTCACGCATGTTGTGATTGATTATACGATCAATTATTTCAAACGCTGTTAGGCGTCTTTATTATAAGTGTAAAACTTGGGCACTGTGGTAGTAAGTAATTCCATATTAGTTTGTTTATTAGATGTATCACACAGTGAAACAGTATTGTATACTGGATGACGTTTCGAACACAATTTATTGTTCATAATCATATCAAAATTGATATGATTATGAACAATAAATTGTGTTCGAAACGTCATCCAGTATACAATACTGTTTCACTGTGTGATACATCTAATAAACAAACTAATATGGAATTACTTACTACCACAGTGCCCAAGTTTTACACATATATTAACATGACTTATGGTCTTTCTGTACGAAGACTTATCAATAAACTCACTCGACTTTCACAAACTGAAGCAAGGCGTCTTTATTGTTGTTAAAATGTATAAATACCATGTATTGGTTTCCTAATGACGATTACAGTATACAGTCACAGGCCAGCCTTTGTCTTTTGATATTTGCGTGGCTCAGTGAATCGGAAGGTACCACAGGCAAATAGGCGTATTAGGCAGGCTCAGATATAACAAATATTGACTACGGTTCTCATTCATTTCAGTGCAGTTATGACAGGTTTGATACCGTCTAACTCTTCTCCAACCTTACTCTATGTCAGCTAAGAGTGTTCGTCTAGGAACGTGTTGGCTGGGCATGCGCAGCTTGTATCACAGCCGTTTCAATCGATTTAGCTTCAAATACAATTCAAATAAACCATAAGGACAGCATCGACGAATTTATTCTGTCGTCTATCGTGTACTGAATGAACTGCCTAAAGGCCAATAGGTAGTGAATACTGTGAATAGTAGAAGCTGTAGGAATCTGTTTAAAATAGCCGAAACTTTATGCGCAAAAGAAGACGGTTCAGATATTACTGCTACCTTGACCTGCTGCAGAATTCATATAAACTGTAATATTGTAACGACAGAAGACAAGGGCCAGGCAACAGATTGTTTACTGAGAAAATCAGTAGATATTTATAGATTTTTATGTACATTATTGTCAACGGAGAAGCAACCTCTTCTGATTTGTTGTTTTTCTACTGAAGGTTATTCTGTACTACTTGTGACTGTTTCTCAGAGAGTTAAGCCATATATTTGCAAATCGTATTTGCACATGCTAAGTCCGCTGTGATTGGTTGGCGAGTTCCTCAAGGTTAAGCCTTGTTATTGTTTTTTCTCATGACCCCGATTCGGGAGTTAAACATTGAGGCAAATTGTTGTCTATAATTTTGGCTTGCAGACAGCTCTCATCACAATATGTCGAAACCTTGCAGATATGACTTTTCTTCCTACATTTATGAAGTCTTCCTGTTTCCTTTTCCTTATTACAGTTGTACAAATAAACCATTCAACTGTGATATATCCATCTTAGTAATTTTAAGGTATTTAGAAATATTTAAAACATTTCTATTTCTAATTCAAAATACTTTAGCTGTTTAACCTTTGTATATCAAGTTCAACAACCTGTCAGCCTACCAGACTGTGGCTTACAGTCATGTAAAATGGTGTTACTTCTGTTTGTTTAAACAACGCGATATACTACTGATTGACTGAGATGAGTTGTATGCCACTCACATCAACCAGTAGTGCTAACTAGTCAGTTCGTGATCTGGAGAGCTTCTTGTGGTTTTGGAAGTGTGTGGCAGGTTGTCACTTCCTGGCGTTTCCACACTCTGAAAGTCGATTTTTTCTTAGGGTACTTGAAACAGGAGGATTAGTGTTGCATGATCTCAAGGGCCAGGGAACAACCACTTGAGGTCAGTCACACTTTTGCCTGTTTGAATTAGTTATTAGACTCGAATGCTTATTAGAAACTTACCGTCAGTTACAGACCGATATACGGTACAATTTTCGGGTCGATCTTTTCTAAACCCCAGTCTGCATAATGGAACCGCAGCCTAACTGGTACGCTAGTCATTTGAGGGAAATAGCTTATTGCTGTTCACTCCATGTTCACCAGCAGCATGGCTCTGCCCACATACCTCTGGCATAGTGTAAGACGCTTACACTGTGCCGGTAACTGCCTTTAGTGTAATTGCTATCCTAATACGCTTTCTGGCGTGAAACATTCGTTGCAGCCGGTATAGCTTGTTGGGTCATTGTGATATGCGAGCCTGACCATCACCTTAACGTTGGCAGCTGTCTGTCGGGAGGCAGATCGAAGTGATCTAAATACTGAACGGTGGTTTCTTTTATTTGGAGTTGGGTCCATCAATAATGTATCGGTTTTCCAAGGGAAACTGTGATAAACAATCACCTTAAAATGTGTAAACCACAAATTAATTTTCGAATCACGAATTTACTTTTTGGTATTACTAGTTCGCCCAAGTAGCTGGCCAGAAATTGAGTGGTTTGAACTCATTCGGGTCGCTGAGCTGAGTCCAACCGGGTACACTACTGACGAGCTCGGCACCAAACGAGCAGAACTTCCGTCTGGTATCTAGATTACTTCGATTTCGATATCATGTACTACTGGTTGGTGTGGGTGACATAAAACTACTTACCTCAATGAATCAGTAGTACACAGTTTCATTTAAATTAATTTATTGATAAACTTCCTCGTTTAGGTGTCACTGGCTGCTTATACATATAGTGTCTAGTCTAATGTGTTAACTTCTTATTTATATTTCTGCACATTTGAGGTACTCAAGTAGAAACCCATTGAGTTTAAACATCCATAATAATAGTGCCTTTATTAGTTGAATTTATCAAGCATTCAATATCTTTTGAAGTTATTTGGTGGTGGATGGTGACTAGCTTTCGAATTGAGGACGCGTATTTCGTCCTATTTGAGACTCGTCCTCTGATATGCCTTCATTCCTCAGTGAGTGATGGTGTTCCCACCGAGGCTCGAACTCAGCTCCCGTAGTTTCAAACTCCACGAAGGTTACCTCTTGTGCTTAACTTCAAGTTACATGAGCAGATATCGTTGAAGCATCTACACAAGGAGCCACCATGTCAAACTGATGCCGAGCACTTCGGTCCAATCAGTCGATGGGAAATTCTAAATTGAAGTAAATTCAATATCTCTATCCTTTGTATAAGATTTGTGTTTGGTGTAATGTCCTCTAACTAGACTTATATAGCCTAAAATCATGTTAGTGTGATGAAATAATAATGCTTATTTTTTTGATAAGAATGTAAATTACTATTTTACTAGATAAATAGCATAGTTTTGTTATCATATTATACAGAGTGTTTTTTTTCCTAAAAATCAAACGATTTCCACATGATCATTGTTTACAGAATAAGTCTTGTGCGTTGCTATTCTCATTTTTTATGACATTAATACACTTATCATTATATAAAGGAAGGGATTTTCTTCTCCATACAATAAAACTACGATTGAGAGATAATGAAGGTTTTCTTACTATTAGTTAATTATTTGTTTTCAACCTAGCCGGAAAAAATAATCCAAAGAATGCTCTCTGTGAATGTAAATTATATTCCTAATACACATTACAGATCTACTTTTTTCCAAATGCTCAAACTATGCGTACAGGTAATCGTAGTCAGTAGTAGGGATTTTGCTTGATTTCATGGAGGATTTCATCATTAGCTGACATCAGTTAGAGAACCATTGGATAGCCTTGGCGTACTGGACAGCTGTTTTGTCCTAGTTTGTGACTCTTCATCAGTACGCACCCACCGGGGTTAGAACCTAGAACCTTCTGGTTACAGCGCAAACTCGTAGACCATTGAGCCACTGGGACCCGATCCTATGGTCCTTGAATTCTAACTTCTGCTAATTCACGATATAGCGCGACCATTTCGCAATGTCTTCTTCGATGAGTTACTGCCTCATCTTCAACCTGCTGTTGAGGTGTAATCTTTAGTAGTTGTATTTAGGAACCAGAAAGTATAACAGAACGGAATATTGCATTAGATATCTCATCATCTATGCACATGTGAATACTGCGACAATCCATTGAATACTTACATCTTCTACACACCTAGATAAGAATTCAGGTGAACATAGAGAGGATTTAGGTGATGAAGACACCCAATATGACCAGCAAAAGCAAATGCCTCTTTCCCCCGATTGATATGGACAGCATAGTTTCAACTGCAGGTGTGCGTAGGTTGGGATATCAAAGCCAGGATAGGAAAAATAAGACCGGTTTTTATTGCTTTGAAATCACTGTGAAGATATACACCACTTAGTACAATGAACAAGCTGAGGATTTTCAACAATTGACGCCGCACTGAGAGCATTTCCAACAGTCTACTGCAGACTTTTATCCACGGATGCCTTCGCTGGTTCGATACTGAGGATCAGACGACTGGCCAGAAAGCATTAGCGGTAAGGAATCATGGCAAAGAATCAAGAAATTAAGAACCTATGACCCAACAAATATGGAGACGGACTGGACATAGGCTTAGGGGACCGGAGAAGGATGTCACTCGCCAGGTTCTTGAGTAGTGAAATTTGGATACGAAACGACGAGTTAGGCGCTTGTTTGAAGGTGATATGAAGAATGTGTGTGAGTTGGGAATGAAAGTTGGTGGACATTCTTGGACTCATTTAAAAAACGACTTCAGAGAACAGAGCAAATTAGTAATGTGCTGCTGAATTCCGCTAGGAACCCGAAGAATGAATAATACTGATTTGTTCATGACCACAAAGGTTTAAATCGTCTGCATCAGACAACACTTGTTCTCAATACACTAATTTGTCTTTTATTCTTGTTTGATTTGGATCATTTTGCGTAGATAGTGTATAGTCTACGGAAATGACAGTTAATTCAATATATTTTATGCAATCAAACATATGAAAAGCGCAAAGAAAAAAAAACCCAATAAACTATGAGAGTATTTATTTTTAGTTTTAACTGAACAAATGTATATTGTGAAATTGAATTTGAAAATTTTCCTTCAACATTTTATTGATCATTATATACATTAGTCTTCTCTGGTCTTCTGATTCTAGTTGACGTCTAAGGAATAATATTTACTTAACAGACTTTGTAATGTATTTTGATGTGGGTTGGAAGTAGAATTAGGCACAGCTGTTAAATTCTCGTTATGATTTGTCATTTAGACCTATTAATACATAAGCGTTATGCTATCAAAGTATTGGTTTGTAGGGATTTGATTGATTGGTTATAGGAATTCATCAAGAGCTGACATCGGCTGAAGAACCACTGGAAAACCTGCAAGGAGTTCTGGACAGCTGTTTCATCAGCCCAGTTTGGGACACTTCATCGGCACACACCCACCAGGTTTATACTATTCATTGTGGTCTATTGTTTTATTCTACTTCATGGGAAATTTTTTAACTTTCACTAGCTAATCGGTTATAAATATGTCGAATTATGTTGATCTGTCTCTCTTACCAAGTGATGTTATCTCTGACGTGGATGTGATATCGGGCTATTGATCAAAGGATGTGTGTACTGCGCAACAGTTCTCTGTATCCACTTTTACGGCTGTGAGACATGACCATTGAAAAGGCTAGCTGTCTTTTTTCACAGATGTTTGAGTTCTAATACCCGTGTTAAAAGTATTGTAACAACAGAAGACAAAGGCCAGGCAACAGATCCTTTATTAAGGAAATCAACACATATTTATATAATTTCATGTACATTATTATAGCTTATTCAAGTAAACAAACACAGTTTGTTTCTGGTTGGTTGTTTCTCACAGAAAGTTGACCTTGCGTCTCTTTGTGACTGTTTCTTGAATGTCAGGTCATCTATATGCTAACTATATCCGCCTACGCCAAGTCTGCTGTGATTGGTTGTTAAATCAGTCTTGTTCATATTTTCGCACGACTAATATTTGCGACACAAACATTGACGTAAAATACTGTCTACCATTTTTGGCTAGCCTGCTCTCACCACAGTATAATATAGTGAGCGATATCGGTGTTAAGCGTAAAGTGTTAGGTTAGAAGGGTAAATCAATCTATGAAGTTGTAAAGCTATACTGATTGGAATGGCTATGACATGTGTTCCTCATACCGAGTCACCACTTTCCTTGTCAAACAATGTTAGATGACGTAAGACTACGTTGGGGAAGAATTGGAGCTGGTGAAATCAAAATCTGTCATCAGTCCATGGAATCTTTTACTTTTAGTTTATTCCATTTACAGAGGTGTCGATTTCTACTTGATTGAGGTTCTCGGAATGCTATGTCTGAAAGTCGTTCTCAATAATACTGATGCATTTAATCTTTTCGGAGTTTCTCAGACCCATTTGAAACACTCATGTTTTCCCATGTTACTGTTCTTTCTCCTTCACGTCTTTGTTTATAATAATCCTTTTAAGTCTCGTTTTTCTCCGTCTCTGCCTCTTTTTTGTTTACCTTTGTGTGTGGGAACTTGGTGTTGCACTTTTGGTGCATATTTCTATGTCGGAACTTAGTCAGTCGGTTGCATAACCTTTTTGTACATTTATCGATACGGTACCTTCTATCGGCTTAGATATAAACATATCAAGTGTCTGTGGTTTTTATTTTAACTAGTTCTTCATTTAACGGTACCTTTTATTTTTCCAAAAAAGAAAATTTTATTATATTTAACACTTATTTTTCAAAAGAATGATTACTGAACAAAGAATATTCTTTTCGATAACCTACTCTTCGTCAGCTTCTACAGTTATACATACATAATAGTGAATGAATTAGTGTTATTAACGACATTGATGTTGTTTAAATAACATCAAATCAATAAAAAAATAATATGAATGGATTACAGTTCGACTGTATCAACATTATTTATTTATTTTTTTATTTTTGATTACAGCTTGATTCCACACTGTGTATTTGGTACAAGTATGGAATTTTCAGCATGGATATCGGTAGCCCAAAATTCGCAGGCCGACCATAGATATCAAGTGTGCGTCGGCGTGGGCTCGAACCCCGTACCATGTGCATGGTCGGCGAGAGTCCTAACCACTGTGCCACCGACGCACATAACAATACTCACTGAATATCAGAAAAATTAGGAAAGATAATAATACAAATTCATGAATTCATAGTCTTCAGTGAAGGTTGGCCTGGACAGTAGTTAGTGGCTGGTTGGACCTGTTTCTTCTGCACACAGAGCATCTATTGTTTAAGGCGAGTCCCGATAGCCTGTGCTTTTGGAGTATGCGGTACCTGGATGTTTTTGGCAATCTGTTTGGTATCCGACAGATGATACAGAAGGACTCCTCAATGCTATCTTTGGGGTGGGTTTGGACCAGATGTTCTAATATCGAGCTACTGATGCTTCTAACTACACCTTTATTTAAACACACAGGTAGATGTTCCCAAGCGAGTACGAGAAATCAAGTTCCTAGAATAAAGGCCAATATTGCTCTCCACTACAAGCGTAGTTGAATTGGTAGATACAATCAAAAGCGGCTAGTCCAGGTACCGCATACTCCAAACAGCAGTGACTATCGGGATTCGCGTGAAAAAATCAGTGCTTTGTGTGCAAAGGAAACAAGTCCAGCCACCACTACTGCCCTGGCCAGTCTTCAGTGGAGACCATAAATTTATGTTTCTGATATCCGGTGTATTGTTATGTTGATGCTATCGAACTGTAATCCATTGATATTATTATTATTGATTCGATGTTATTCAAACAACATTATTGTTGTTAATAATAACACTAATTCACTCACTATTATGTATGTGTAACTGTAGAACCTGATGATGTTGTCGGAGAGAATATTCTTTGTTCAGTAACCATTCTTTTGAAAAACTCTTTTTTCAGTTATTAGGTTTATATTTAGTCTAAAAATTTATTGAGATAGGGCAAAGTCTTTTTTCGCTTTATGTGAACACCGTTTTCACCATTTACAAGTTGTAACACTAAGTTTTAATTCCCAGTGGGTAATGGCAAATAGCTTTGTCTATGTTTAAAGTTGTATTTGTCTCATGTAATTATTGCTTTGTTTTGTATTTGCCTATAGGCTGTTCCTAAATCTACACGAATTATTCGTATTATGCCGAATACACCATGTCTTATCGGGATTGGAACTGCTGTGTATGCGCATACATCATCTGTGACTGAACAAGATGTTTTATTGATTTCTACGCTGTGCTCATCAATTTTCCCTGTATTTGAAGCTCTTCCTGAGTCATTGTTCAATGCAGCTGTTGGTGTAGCTGGCTCAGCGCCTGCATATGTAAGTTGGGTTTATTCTGTGCATTTTATAGTTGTTCTGGTGGAAGTATAAACCTGCTTAAGACTTGACCAATTAAAAACCTACATTATTATATTGAAACTTATTTCTAATGTTCACATTGTTTTAATCGATAAAAATAATGGTGTCTAATGGTATTATTTACTCTCATTAGTACTTAAAATATTTATAGCCTACTGATTCTCAAGCATTTTCAAGAAAGAGCATAACCGTGGGTGACATTGTATTCGAATTATTATTATTATTTCCTTTAATTCCTAGAGGAACATAGGGCTTCAGACGCGCGTGTTCATTGCGTTCTGTTGTCTACCAACTTTTTCACCCCGCTCCAAGTCTGCCCACATGCTTCCATCTCCTCTTCACATGACCTCCTCCAAATCAACCCACCGTGGGACGACCAACTCGCCGTTTCCCTTTCGGGTTCCACTCGAGCGATGGCTTGTCTAGTGATGTCACCTGATGGTTTCCTCAGAGTGTGACCAATCCATCTCCATTTCTTCCTGCCTATTTGTTTCACAATCGGTTTCTGGTTGGTTCGCTCCCTGAGATCCTTCACTATTGCTGACCTCTTCTGGTCGGTCATCTGTTCTTGAGTATTTAGCGAAGACAGCTATTGATGAAGGTATGTGGTTTGTTAGAAGGAGGGGCTCTTCATGACGCATCAAGACTCTGATCCGTATAGCAGCACTGACTTCACATTGGAGTTGAAAATGCGGATCTTATTTTTGATTCTGAGTGCTACTGACCTCCACACAGACTTGAGAGTAATAGAAGCTTACATTGCTTTCCAAATCATTGCTTTGATATCCTCGTCAGTTTTGTCCGCCTGTAGTTGAAGCGATGCTTCCCAGGTAGGTAAAGGAAGTTGTTTTTTTCAGGTTCCTCCCATTTATGTTGGCTGATTGTTGTCTGTTGTTGTTGCTGTTGCTGTGTTGTACCCGAATACATGATGTAATTTTTCCTGACATTTTTAGAGCACAAACTGCCATTACGTAGAAAACAAAACTGGCTGCCTGAAGTTTTTACTCATTCAGTTATGCCTTTGAGTCACTAAATGTACTGATGCACTATTTTTAAACTGGTTTTCAACTAAATATCGTACATTTTTCGAAGGAGATAAAAAGAAGTCTCACAAGGATTGATTTGCTCTTCAGGCAAGGCGGCATTTACTGTCAATTACTATTTTACTTGAAGATGTTAGGCGAAGGGTATATATTTTGTGATAGATTCTGCTAAGAATTCTGTACATTTTATCAACACTGTCTAGAATTAAGCAATTATTATTATAATTATGTAAAATTGTCATATAATAACTTCCTAATCACGCGGGAGATCCGGGTTCGAATCTGGGCTGACGCACTCCTAAACTTCTCCAAGTTTACTAAACTCTACGTACTAAGGTCGTGAAGTGCAGGGGGGGGGTAGGCCGGTCACGAGGCTAGTAATCTCCCTATTTAGAAGCAAGACAACTATAACAGACACTTTAAAGCTTGATGGATCACGTTACACTACACCTTTGCATAGGGCTTCAAACTAGAGCTTTGAAGTTTTGGTAGCAGTGGTTATTATTTATATGGCGTGGGGTTGATAGCCTCATGCATAACCTTCCCTCCTTGTCAGTCTGATTACTGGCTTTGTGAGGTAAAGGAGTGCGTCGGCCTAGGATCGAACCCCGTGAGGCGTGGTTGGCGAGAATTCTACCGGTGTGCCACCGACGCACCATTCAGGACGGAAAGAAATGAAAAAAGTTCATACAATGTAGATTTCTAGTGCGTAATTAATTTTTACATTAAGTATTATCAAACACTTTCAAATTCCGTCCATTAGTATTGTATTACTGATCTGAAGAGAATGAAGTGGTTCAGATGTGTTTGTTATTAGATTTCTCGCTAATGTATTCATTCTTAAGTGGTCAGATAGTTCCATTGTGTGTGTTTTTTTGTTACAAAATAACAAGGAATGTTTAGTAAATTGACGAGGAAAAGGAATAAAAAAAATAATTGTTTTAAGTATTTCGATGGAAACATGAAACTGTTCTTTGTTTGTTTTTCTACTTATTGCTTAAAATTGTATGAAGTTTTTTCCCCGATAACATGTTAGGATAGTTTTTCACTCAGTACCTAAATGTTTCGTTTGAACATACTAGCCTTCATCAGAAGTATTCATTAGTTTTAAACTAAGCCAGTCGTTTTTTTTATATCTGCTGTTTTCAATGCATGAAAGTTTAGTTAGTTTGTAAAAGATTTATTGTATTTATTTTATGCTAAGCATTTGATTAAGAAATTCAAGATATACTACTGATTTCAGGTCATTACAGCGTCATTAATTGGTAGAATCATGTGTCTGTCTATAGTCTAATGTGAATTGGTAATTTTGGATAAATCCAAACTAAATCTTCGCTAAGGACATGTGTTACGTATGCCTAGTCATCGCCTTCCTCGACGAGCAATGTTAGCGGATATAGGGTCAGGCTGGAAAAGAGCTAGCGGCGGTCAAACAAAAACATGGCCTCACCAGTCAATGAAATCTACAACAGTTAGTCTCAGCCACGTAGGAAGGTGTAGACTTCCTAGTTGGGGTCCTCGAGACGGTAAGAACCAATGGTTGGAAGCAATCAGTGATATGGCTCAAAATCGTTCTCAATGGCTGGCTCAGATGCATCCACTCCTTGTGACTTATGATTTCCAATGAAACTGTTTTGTTCTTCGCTATTACTCTTCCTTTGTCTCACACCTCTGTTCAATGTCTCTACTATGCATTTCTTGTACTTTCTTCTCTTGCTTTGTGTGCTACATGGAGGGAGTGTGGCGACTTGAACTGGTGCACATATTTGCAAAGTTCTATGTCGTAAACAGACAGACAGACAATTTTAAATCTGACTGAGTCATTTTATGTGTTTTATGAAATACAAGAGAGTCGTTGAAGTAACTTTCTACTTCATGTGAAGTTTTAAGGTTAAATATTTTGAGTCTGAAAGCTTTTTTTCTCAGGTGTACACCTCTTAGGGAAGTCGCAATGTATTATTTTAATTGACTTTGATAAGAGTTATGAGTGTGGTGGACAAACTCGATGACCTGACACATGTGGTCATTAAGAGTTGAGTACACTACTCAACGGAACAGTATGCCTTACTAGACAGGTGCGAATTATGGATGTTAAGTGCTTAGTCATGAAAATACCACTTTTATATATGATGTGTTTTCAGTGTGGTGGAACAACCATGTCTGAAGTTTATTAGTTAGGAGTGGCATTTTAGATAAGTGGGATCTATTAATAATCTTGTAGCAGTGGTAGCAACGTGTTTCACGTAAACCCGATCACCGCTTAAACTCAATGTCTAATGCAATTTGAAAAAGTATATTCGTTATGAGAAAGGCCATGGGTCACCGAAAGGAGCCATAAAATAATTGCCTGTTAGTTTAAGCAGTTTACAGAAATTTGTCTTCATTTACTTGGGGGCTATTAGATGACCTAAGTCAATCACCAAGTTATATAGATATGATGCGAATACGACAATTGATTATTTCTGCTTTCTGCTCTTACGTTCCTATAGTTGATACATATAATGGTACCACTTTCCTATTTAGCTTTTATGTTAGTTTCAGAGCTCATGCTCAGCCACCGCCTTCTTCGACGAACGATGTTACCTGATATAGGATTCAGTTGGATGAGAGTAAGATGTGGCCAAGCTAAAATCTGTCAACAGTTCATCAACATTTTTGACAGTTGGTTCGAACCAGGTTAGAAGTAGGTGTGTTGTAAAGTTACATTGTTTGAGATGGTTAGGACATGTGTTACGACGCATGTCTAGTTATCACCCTCCTCAACGGGCAATGTTGTCTGACATAGGGTCAGGTTGGAAAAGAGTTAGTGGTGGTCAAACCAAAACATGGCTTCATCAGTCAATGGAATCCACAACAGTTAGTTTGAGCCACGTAGGAAGGTGTAGACTTCTTGACTGATTGCGGTCCTCAGAACGGTAAAATTTCGACAAAGGTTGAAGACAATTGGTGATATGGATCAAAATCGTTCTCAATGGCCGGCGCAAATGCATCCACTCCTTGTGACTCATAATACCCAATAAACCTATATTGTTCTTCGATACTACTATTCTTTTCGCCTCCTATCTTTGTTATCCATTTCTTTTTACTTTATTCTCTTGCTCTGTGTGCTAAGTGAAGTGTGGAGACTCGAACTGCTGCGCATCAGTTCAAAGTTCAATAGTGAAACCAGTCCGCCAGTCAGTCAGGTGTGTAGACAGCCTGGTTGAGATTACCCGAATGCTTAGAAACACTGACTTCAGATTATTAGTGATTTAACTTAAAAACCATTCTCAGTGGCTGAGATGCATTCACTCTTTGTGTTCTCCTAGATCTTTTAAGTTCTCATAATTCTTCATATAATTATTCTTTCTCTTATACGTATCGTTTCATTGTAATTCCTTTGGATCGCTTTTTTTTAAAACTCTTTCATGCTACATGAAATGTGGCAACTTGAACTGCTGCACATCTGTGCAAAGCTCTAATGTGAAACTTAGTCAGACAGTCAGTTAGTCGGTTTTTTTCTTTATTAGTGATGCAAAACATCTTAATTATAGTGATGGGTGAATATTATGACTTTGTTACTTACAAGTATACATAGTAAGGTTGAACTAAGAGTTTATAGATTATCGAAGCGTGCACATTATCATTCATGCCGATTTTTAAGTGACAATATAATTAACCATGTGATCTGAATAATGAATTTTTAATATCACATACGAAGCTTACGTAGGTTTATGGTTGCAATGTGAATATACGTCTGTTTACCTGTGTTAATATTAAGGCAATTACAAGTTAATGTGAAGAAAATTCTACTCGAATAATCTTTTATATCACAATAGTTTTAATTAAAAATCAATGATAGTATGCAGATTTTTCAGCGGAAATGACTGTATAATAGTTTCTCTTTGTCTAGGGTTCTGAAGTAATGTAGTAACTGAC